GATGGCTAATAGGTACATACATTTGTATGATACAATTGCTTGCAATCTCATGATTACTTTGAAATAATTTATGAATAAATCTTGAGGTTTCTGATCTTAGTTATTTCAAATTCGGTAGGAAGCTAATCTCATTATCACTTTTTGAGCATAGTATGTATGATCTTTAAGATAAATTACAATATTTCTCTTCATCTCTACTGAACTATATGTTTTTTTAAGAAAAAATTCTCAACAAAATTCAAAAATTAATTTTTTTCTAAAATAATTAGTCTTAGCAGCCATTTTTGGTCTGAGGCATATATTACATGCTTAGTTTCATCCATGGTTGAAAGGCTCTTTCTATTCTTTTGTTCGCTTTTCTACAATGGCAACATTTGTTAATTTTATACTTAGACGCTCTTCACGATAGAGACCTAGTGGGCCTTACTTAGAGAAGTAGCAAAGTTTTACAACTGGCTGGCTGAGTCAAGAAAACCAGCTCCATCAAGTTAACTGTGGCCAGTGAAGCGACCAGAAGATACAGTCATGACTTCCAGCATTTTCAGATCTTCTTTTGTCAGATCGTCCGTTGCACCTTTCCTTTACAGATCAAGTTGTGGGCACCGAAGTCGAGGTCCTCAAAGTATCCGCAAGCGGATAATGTGTATCAACAGAAGATGAGGGTATAAAACAGAATCTTCGTGACTCACATTGCAAGGAGGAAGATGGACTACAAATTACTTGTGGTTCTGCTTTGTTCCTTGTCCGAGAGCACTAATGCCATTCGAAAGAGAATATTTGATTCCAACTCTGATCACTCCAAAATCCTCTGAAACATCCGTGAATCATACTTTTCGACGACCCTGAAAACAATCTCTCTGTTCTTAGACTGTCATCATATCCTCATGCCATGACAGACCTCTTGGCCTTCAAGCTTCCCCACTCCCATCCACTCAATGGACAGTATCTTTTCTTTCTTGGTATCTGCTTTCCACCTCTCCCCTTGTATAGAATCAATTTTTTTATGCTGGAGATTGTTCCCATATTTTCTCCCTAGTCTTCTCCTTTCCTCGGAACTTTCTATTCAAGATCTGGAATTTTTCTCTCTTTTCAACATGCGTCTTTGCAGAGCCTACGGTACCTGGAGTTTTTTCTAATGGGTTAAGCTGTTGTAGAGTTATATAATATCTAGATTTTTTGTTCGTGTAAAGTCTCTTTGCCATCAAAAGACTTAGTTCTCTAAGCTAACATGTTTCTTTTTATCATGGCAAAAGATTGTTTATTCATTGATTAGTAGCTACTGAAGGATACTAAGCCTTCGGGTAAACAATCTGTTGATAGGGAATGAATTTCAATCACAATTTTTTTTTTCAAGATCTGCATCCACTGTCCATATTTTTTAATCCCATTGCAATTGTCCTATGTATCTGGGTCGTTCTTCTCTCTTGCTCGGAAAGAAGGTATTTACATTTGAACTAAAGGAGACGGTCGAGCGTAAACTCGTTTCGTTCTAAGCGGCGTTTCAAATGCCTGTATACAGTCCTAGTGCTCACAGCTGGCATTTGTTGGATCGAGTAAGCAATAATGTTTCTCACAATCAAGGCTTTACTGTCAGAAACAGGTGAATCATTGAGCTCATGCTCTGGTTGTTGTCTGTATGGTGTTTCCCTACAATCCTAATTCACCAGGTTTTTCATGAGAAAAGGATAAGATTCAATCTTGCATCCAATTAGATGTGGATCAGTTGTCCATCATTCTGGAATATTACGGGGTTTCAAAAATAAAGTTCCAGTATCTGTGTGAAATATTAATTGGCACATTGAATGATTCATCCTTCATCCTTCATTTGACCACTTGGTGAGTGGATGTTGTGAACGGTAAAATCGGATAGGCTAGACATGAGATTATTTCATGCCTTGTGTAAAACTGGAATTTCATATCGTCAATCGGGATCGTTAATATTAGAGTCATACGAAATTATACCCAGGTTTCGGTTTGGTGTATGTCACCAGAAACGGAGAACAAACGGGTACTCTAATCAAGGGCTGAAGGCTCAAAAGGGATGTGAGAATCAGTTGCCATTGTCTTCACTTAAATGTTCTGGAAGGTCAATGGGAAGGCCTCTCTTCTCCAAGGTTTTTTGCTCGTAATTTGAAATCAGCTAGTTCTGCAGATGTATGGATTCGTCGTTTTGAGTCGTATAAGTATCAGTTTTCGCTTACTTACATCTCCTATAATCAGGAGAGATAACATAAACATTTTTCCCTGGAAACCTCAATGACCATGTGGCATCTTTGCAGTAGCAAACTGTTTATCTTTTAGGTAATTTCTTAAGTTGATCCGTTTTCCTAAATTCGAAAACAGTGCCGATTTTTTTCTCCTGGTAGATTTGGAAATCTTCACTCAAAGTTCAAGATTGATGTTCCAACATTATTTTTGTTGTTGTGTCTTTACATCCAGTTAGGGGCGACGATTTTATGTATGTGAGAAGGGCATTCATTTGAGCTCGGCAACAAGGTTACACTTTACCAGCTACGAGTCAGTAAAATTCGATGTGTTTACTTTCCTGCCAAAGTGGAAGACTAACTTGGAAAAGGTTTCGAGAGCTTTTGGTATTTTACGACAGAATATCAGCCATTCCAGACAGTAGTCATGTGAAAGTTAATTTCCTACCCTGAATCAAAGCTACAGGCGCAGCCTTTGTTTGGATCTCCGTTGCAGAGTCTTATCCTCATGTCTGCTTGTTCATTATACGTTTTCATTCTCATTACGATGTCTCCCTCACTCTTCCAGTGGTTGACATTTGCCTCGTTTCAGGTCTAACGAGGATTCGCCCACTTGTCTCAGGTGCTCTTCTCTGACCACTGCACGTTCACCTATGTCGCATGCATGACCTCGATGCATAGTCGATTTATGTCTCTGTGTTTTGTCGATTCTTTTCAAAGAGTTATGGGCAATGTGATTGCCTGGACTTCTTCTGCTGACACGAGTAATGCTGGACGACAGGAGTTACCACTTTTATCATGTGAAGGATTTTAGCAACTGCATTATTTCCTTGATTCAAAGTGTCAGGCTTAATTCGACAGTCAATTTCTAGTCTCCACTGCTCTTTAGTGTCCTAATCTTCCGGGTGTTTCGAGCCCCATCAAGTCAACCTCTTGACATCTTTATGGTTTGCGATTCGCTTGTTCTGAAACAAGCAGAAGATCAGCCAATGAAGCAGCAGCCTCTCATACTATTTATGCATTGGGACTGACAAAAAGGAGCTGCTGGCTACGATTATCTCCTTCATAATTAGAATATGTCACCCTACCAGAGTCCGGGGGCGACTCGTCTGTGGCTGCTTGGCTTGGGCGAACAGACCTAAATTGTCTCGTGCATGCACACCTTACAACCACTCATACGTCTGCAAAATGTGTATGGCTGATCCTTTACAATCCGGCGCTTCGCATGTGTAAAATGTTGAGCTACTCTAACATGCCCTCGTAAGAAAGCATGTTCCGCACCTGCGGAGGAATGAGAGTCGACTCATGCCACCCAACAAGACATGTCGTGTCATGCTTACCACAAATCCGTACGTTTGAGGCCCGTGCACAAAATCCGACAACGCAAATTGTTAGAAGTACCAAATTAGTGACAGTCAGTTCATGCCACTATTAAGTCCAATATTCCTGACACTGTGCACTTTGGTATAATGGTTGCACATATTCGGTCCACTTCGAGTGCCCTTCTGAGGCCCGAGTAGCAGCATCAAGTCTCGGTGTGTTATTCAAATCTCACCTTGCACTGCCAGTCTTGCGCCTCCTGCCATAAGCAAGACGCGTCCACCGTTCAAGGAACCAAGAGAGAAACATATGTGAGTTTTTCTCACATACACTATGGCCTCGAGAATTGAGAAGTAGTGACAGCAGTAAAACGCCTGGTCCATGTCACAAACCCAGAGCAGTAATCGTAATAAATTGCAAAACTATGGTCAGGTACTCTCTTACTGTGCAAGCAGATAATGCCTTGCAAGCAGAGTTACGGCGTTTTAAGAAGTAACTTTGTGTGCAAACATTCTTCGCAATCAAGGTTCTCGTCACTTGGTCACTACTATAAATCCATTACGATTTTCACCAGATATAAATGATAACTACTGAGCATGATTTTCAAGGCGGCATAAAGTTGTACAATTAGAGAGATACCCACCTCAATTTGTTTTTCTCATAAAGTATTTTTTCTTCTAGTCAGGCTACACATCTTTTCGGTTTCTAATGGGTAGTTCATAAACTACCCATTGGAATGATACATGGATGAGGCAGAAGTCTCCTTTCAGGGCTTCCATTCACATACTCTCTCTTTCTTCTTGGGCGATTCAAAGCGAACTTGTACAGAAATCTAACACAAAATTAATCATGTCAACTGAAACCTACCACACTTTCTCCACACTTGGTGTATATAAACTCTGATGTGGGCTACCACCAATTGATGCCATTGCGCAATCACGTCTTTCATGGTAATCTTCAAGCTCCTTGTTTTCCTCCGGCAATGAGTGAGAATGGGTGACCAACACTTGGAGACAATAGAGCACACACGTATTTTGTAGGTTCTGTAGCTGAACTGTAAACGTGCAAAACTTCGGTCAAGATTTTTTTGCACAACAAACTGACAAGAGCTGCATCATAGACATATAGAGGAAACTCGTATTCTATAGTTCATTATCACACTCTTATCTGGATCCAATAAATTAGACTAACTGTAGCTTTACAGCGAGCTATATCTTAATTTGCAAAAGCCGATCCCAAACAGCTTCCGGCATTTGGGATTGCTCACATAAACTAGAAAACTCGCAGAAATCTCGCACGAAATAGTAAACTGATCAGATTTTCTCAGTAAAAGTGAACTGGCAAGGACTCACATGTTCCTGTTCATGGATGTTATCTGATGCTCACATGGATTCACCTCTTCCAATCAAAATGTCACATCAACTCAAATATCAACATAGACAAGTACAGTGTAGAGAATCTGTACTCTGGATGACGATGTATCTTGCAGTTACACCTCACGACCGGGCCCTCTTGAGCTCCCGGTTTCCACTCTCCTCTGCCTTGTGGCTAAACTTGGTCACATCTCTGTGCTACTTCGAGCACGGGGTCAGTGCTTTGTCCTTTGCCATCCCGATTCCCTGCCTGAGGAGTTCTCCAGCCCACACGTGCATGGACGTCGATTCAACAGTCCTACTTTACTTCGGTTTGGAAAAACATGAGCTCATTCATTTTTTATGTGCAATGTTATATTGGTGTAGTATATGCATCAAGTTTCGAATGAGCACTTTTAGAACAGAGGAAATTTGGTAGTGATGCAAAGAGTGCTCATGTTTTTTCTGGTTCAGATCCCTTGCCGAAGTCTGCGAGTCTCTCGCTGTACATGTATCGAGATTAAATCTCCTGCGAGAAACTTGTTCACTATTATCTGCCTGGGGCGGCATCACACCGTGTGGGCCTCACGGGCTTTCATCTCTGGATCCTCCTCGGTATCTTTACTTTTGGAACAATGAGTCAGTGTCCTCGGACTTTGTGGCCCGTACTCCTGACCTTGAAATTCCAAGAAAATTGTGTTTCTAGTCTAGGGCGGACGATGTCGATCAGACAAAACCCAGATAAAGATATGAACTCATTTGAGCATTTCATTGCTCCCATCCTGGTGGGCCATGGTTCCGAGGCCTGAGCATGTATCAAGAAGTGGTCAAAAACGCAGATGACAGCACGCAGAGAAAGCTCAATCGCGAGAAGTTTCGCTGAGGTTAAGATGCAGGTATGGTCTCTTTCTTCTTTGCTTTGCCGAAAGTCACTAAGAAAAAAGTGCAGGTTCGAAGTGAGCATAAAGTTTGTACTTGAGCCACTCGATGCCGGCCTCCAGCGTCCTCCAGAATACTGGTCAATCCGGCATGGAAATCTGATTCACTGCTCACGGAAAGCATACAGAACTTTGTTAGAGAAATGAATCTTTCGTTCTGTTGAAAGTCCGCGTGCGTGCGTGGGCAGAAGTGAAGATGAAGCACCCGCCCGACCAGCATGAACCTTATGCTGATACCATATCGGCGTCCAGCATTCCGCATCAAAGTTGATGAGCGAGACATCAACCGCAAGCCCAGATATTTTGAACATTGCACATATACACTTGTCAATCAGTGCAGCATTTTCTTCAACCCATACATTCCATCTCTTCCACCTCTACGACCGCCTGCTTATAGAGGTTAGTTCCCCACCGAAAGCAGACTGTTCATAATTATTCGCCTTGTGTAAGTTGCTCACTTTCGGCGAGCTGTTTACGTTCCTGACGCGCTTTCAGTCCTCTCCAGCTTCCAAGCTTTTCTTAAAGCTCTAGCAAGCATGTTGGAACTTAATTATATTTTCAGTTTCCCAATGGTCAGAACCGAGAAACAAACGAGTTTCGCAGTTTTCAGTTGCACTTTCTGTCACGAAAGTGAGTACATCTGGACGCCTCAAAGTATCTGCTAAATAGATTTACCGAGCTCAAAATTCATCATTACTGCTGGATGATCCATTTCTCTCGTCCAAATTAATTTCCAGCCTATCCCAATACTCTTTTGCTCACGCTGTTGGATAGACAGGCTTCACAACATTACCTTGACGTGGACACGTGGAGATTGAGGTCCAGGAAAATCCCAGAAACTCTTTCACCATTATCACCCGTGAGGCTTGGGTCTCGCGTAAGTCTTCTTTGATGATATTCATGTTGAAAAGTGGGTCTCAGCAGGATTTATTTATTCACATGGATTTGTAGAATATCGATGTCATGAGAGGTTCTGTTACAACATCCTTCACATGAAGCTGACGTCGCGAGGATCTGTTCTGATGGTAACTTCAAACGACTGTTCTCAGCTGTGGCAGTGGTAGATCCATCACCAGGTACTGGAGAGAGTACCACCGATTGCATGAGAGGCAGCGGAAGTGATTAGAAAGTCGGAATCGTGGAGTAAAACCTACGACTCTTATTGTGCGATAGTTTTCAACAGAGGGTCATCCGAGCCGACCAACCAAATCTACAGCTCCGGGCTTGGGCGAGGACAGACTGTCCGTCTAGAAATGCCATTGTCCCAGCCTTGCAATCGTCTGGCCACGGATCTGCCGATCCACCAAGTCTTTCGTCTTTCTCCCTTCCAGAATCCAGTGGCCGATCCCCTCAATCAGTCAAGGGAATGAAGAACATTTTGCGGGGAAGAGGCAGTCCTCCTGCTGCTGCTGCTGCTGGTGCGGCTGGTGGACCACAATTTCCTAACGCCGCCAACAACTCATCAACATCAACGTGGTTCTGACATCGACTGCACGATGCCAATCCGACGACTTGCGAGGTCCCAAACTTCCTGCACCGCTAGAGAACAAGTCCTGCTAACCAGATCACTGACGTGCTGCTGACTTGAAATGTATACCACTTCATTCTCGGGACTCGATCGTCTCCCACCTCCTCGTCGATCGGTCAGCCATTCGGGTCTCCTTCTCAAGGTCTAGAGCTGCGTCCATGGCCCTCGTGGTGGGCCCGTGTACTTTATGATGGCGTGACTCGGGTCCTACTGAGCTCACGTCTCTTCCTCGATGTACCCCTTTCTCTCTCTCTGCTTGTCGGAGTGTGCTCTCAGCTACTTCCACGTACTTTTCAACTGTATCGTAATCAGCATTCGTTGCATGCCACGTGTTTGGTGAAAAGCTCGATCACGTTCAGCCCTTTCGAAATCCAGTCCTGGACATGGAAACATTGGGCTTGCCGTTTACGATAATCGCAGTCTTTCAGATTCGCTTGTGGACAAATGGAATATGAATTTCCTGCTCTTGCACTCCACTCTTGAGGTAAGACACACAACTTGTGCATTGTCGGTTTGCAAATTCTTTGTGGGATGATGCATATTTATTGTAGTCTCTAATCCGCTTGCTAGGCACGGTTTGAACTCGTCTGGCGTTTCTTAGGTGAGAGTCATGAAGCTCTGTAATGATAAGAAGATGTAAAATTCGAGTTTATGGCTAGAGGCATGGATACTAAGTCGTTGCAAGGATGTCAGAGCCAGAGAGTTATCATGTCCTCAATTACAATCCTGAATGTTGTCCACTTCTGCGTTTTATCGCGATTGAAAGGTCGATCTGTGATTGTATGCACGTCAGTCGCATTGGTCGGAATCATGTGAATGTGAGTCGCTCTGAACTTGTACTTTAGTCGTGACCGTAGCTGACCGTAGAATGGCTACCTGCGTAACCACGGAATTCCCGATAGCCGTTTTTAAGCAATGCACTCTGCACTTCATTAGACTTCTCGGTATGGTCTCAGTTCAAAGACCAGAAAGCGTACAGCATCAATCGATGACTGACATTGTATCCAAGACGCTCAGGAAAGCATGCCACACCAGTGCTTCTGTTTGCTGGTTGAATAGCTTGACAAAACAACATTCAATCTTTCTGTACTCAGGGTCCTCACTTACTCTGGAAACAATGGCCACAGTAGACCCAGTAGATTTATCTCTGTCACGAACGATGGTAGTCTAGGTCACCCCTGAAGATCTTATTGCAGACAGATTGCTTACTTTCTTCAATTCGGAGACGAAAGCAGATCATCTGTATCCCTGAAGTGAGTATCTTCAGAGATTCTGACCTCATAGTTTCTTAAACTCACTGTGACTGTCAACAAACACTCTGGTTTGTGGGAAGAAAGGTAGAATGAGGTTCAGTCTCAAAGTAGCTATTTGGAGCTCACACCTTTTTGTATCCTCCAGGAAATCACAGATAGCTTTTCTGCAAATGCATGGACTCATCCTCTCATGTTCGTTAATCGTTCGTGGGGTTTTTAGCACTGTTTTCTTCAGTCTTCCCGAGTATATAGAGCGACGTACAACAAGGAGAATGTACATACAAACTTGTTGGACTGGAAGGTTTCTTTTTTCTGCTGCCTAACTGAATTCAATTCTGATGAAGTTGCGGGACTTCGATTCTAATCATGTCATCGGCACAAACTTTGTGCTCAGTAAATTTCGGTAATTCTTTGACAGACCAGATTTCAATGGGGAAACATGACATGTAGTTCGTCTTTTGCTGTCTTCAGCTGCTTCTGCGAGAGAAGTTTTGCTTAAAACTTCATTGGAATATGTACCTTGGTGGTTTTACTCTTTTGAATTTCCGTGTATGTATAGTTGTTGCACAAGGGTTCTTCCTCCTCAAATCTTGCAAGTAAGTTACAAAATTGTCATAACTCTTGTTTACCTTCTTTCCGAGTGGACAGTTGGTGATTGTTCGTGTTATCTGAATCTCTTTTAGTGCTTTTACTCTTGCATCTGCAACTGGTGATCATTTGGTCGATGTACAAGCTAACGTACAAAGTAGCATAGTCTTACAGATTTCAATCTACATTGCCTCAAGTGATGATATGGAAAGCTAGCTTTATAATACTTCTGTAAACTTTTGAACAATCCGTCAGCGCAAAATGCCATCAGCTGCTTCATAATTTGGTCACGCCTCATGATCAATTTGGTTCTGTTGATCCCTTTCTCCACATCCCGGACTACCCTAACGACCGGCTACTGTCATATTCTTAAGGACGCTCGATACGAACATGCAGTAGTTCTTAACGGGAAGGTCGTGATAAACCATAATCGTAGATGTAATCAGTTTGATGTCCCTTGCTTTGTCATCCAAAACTTGGTCGGTCGCTTATTTGATACGATCAATCATGACTTTCATTTTGAGCTCCACTCTCTCGCCATTTGTCTGGAATCTTGTGGTTCTGCCTGGACTGTTGAAAGATTGTTCCTGCCGGTTCCTTGGAATCGAAAATCTGACACACGGCAAAGGCCACTCATGTTAGCCTTGAGATAAATAAATAATACGTTCTGAACAATCATATGAAAAAGTTTGCAGTTACTCTCTGTTGTTCTTCTTGCAATCCTTCCGTTGCTCTCTCCGCTGAACCACAAAAAAGGTCGAGGGAGATACTGTCGTGCTGCTTGTAATGGGCGGTGCCTTTGAAATCGTATTGTTAAGCAGCAGCTTGGAACCCGTATTTTCTTCCTAGGGGAGGAAGCTCTCTATTCCACATCCATTTCTCTCTCCGCTTTCTTGAAGTGCCAAGCGGCAGATAGTCGATGGATGCATGTTCCTGGTTTTGCCTCTTCGCAGGTCTTCCCAGTTTCCAACAGCATATGCATGTGACTCTCAAGACTCTCATACTTGTCCGAAACTTAGTAACCTACACTGATTAGCGTCTCGTTGAGACTCATATGCTCATATGACATTGAGGTCAACAATAAGTACAATATGAAAAGTATCGTGTAGATCAACTGAATCTCGAACTAAATACGTCTCGACTCTGCACTGCATAGTCTGCAGCCAGAAGTCATAGTCTAAACTCGAACTCATACCTTTTATCTCCTGTTACCTCCAGTGGAATGTCCTTCTAACCGAGCAATTATATTAGTCCATCTCCACCACCGTCTGTCAAAACTCTGAACAGGATCTACTTCCTCCAAATCACATCTGACTCTATTTCTCATGATTTCCATTCTCACCTGAACTCTTGATCTGCCTTCTCGAGTCCCCACTGTCCCAAACTCTGCACTCTTACAGATTTCAAGTACTTTTGTCCATGATTGGAACTCCCATGTCATGTCTCAAGCTAATCCCTCTACAGTATGACTCGAGCATTAAGTGTCTACATCTTAATAATGCCTAAGTGCCACATAATTAGTCTTGGAAGCTCCCCTCAATCGTCTCCCACTATGATAGTCTCACTATACAAGCACTAACAAGTCTGATAGTCAGAGTGATTTCTATCAATCGCTGTTTGTTAAGATTTCCTTTCGGTAGAATTACTGCTGCATGACTGAATCATCTTGTTCGCTATATTTTTACTGAGTCGGGCAGATCAGAGTGAATGTAATGGCTTTTCCATAGCCAGAATTAGTATCTCATCAATGATGGGATTTATACGATGTACTAGACGTTTCTCACACATGCCCACGGTGACATACCAGTTGGCATTTACAAGTGCATGGGATAAAAGTTTCTACACTGCAACTTATTTTACATCCTTCTCTTACGTCTTATAAGTCTGCAACGCCTTCTGGCTGCAGGTCATACATAGAAACCAAATCCCAAACCCATTATCTGCCTTCAAAGAGAAGGAGAATGCTTGAAGTGGTTTTGGAGTTTAATTTGACATCGGAACATGAGGTTGGTGTGGCCATGTCGGAAAATGCTATTATCTATAAGGACAAGTTTGTCAGAGTGACCTTAGTCTGAATCCTTGGGTTGAGTTCTTAAGACACCTGCGTGGATGTCGCTTCACTCAGAGCTAAAATCTATCGGGTCTCTGACCTATTTATGTGTAATTAATAATCATTTCTCTGTCATCATTCAATTATGTAGTATCTAAGGATTTCGACGTTTGCTATCTGGTTTAGAAATTGCCACAAGATTTTATGCATCCATGTGATCTATCAAAATCGTGGTACGCCGAGCATGATTATACGACGCACAATCATCTTGTATTTCACAATGAACTCCAAATCTCACATACACAGTTCCTTCTATTTACTTTTTCATGTCTCAGGTGCGGTATATGATTGACAAAGTTTTACATAATGTACACATTACAAAGAGATTACAAATATGTGAGATTGCAAAGAGATTACATCAAATTTTCAAGTCTATGTGTATAGAATGTATACATTATAATTTATACGTTGCAAAAGAGTTTGTATTAAATATTCTCAACCAAAAAATATTGGAGAATGTGTCTAATAATCTGTACTAATCTGATACATTACATAGATTTTTATCTGATATTATCAATATCATATATTATTTGAAATTTCATTCTCTTATAAGTATAACCAATTTTTTTATATATCAACTCACTCGATGCCTAAAACCGTAGTTGATGAAAATCATTCTATAATATTTGTTTGTTTAATTTTTTTTCCATATCTACAAGAATTTGTATTAATTTTATACACAAGTGACGTTGACAATTCTAGACTATTGGGATTATATCACTTGTGATTGAAAGTAACACTTTTTTTTTATGAATTTAAACTCATATTTTGACAAGAACAAATTATTGAGAATTAGATGTATCATCTTGGTGTTACTGATGTCGTACAAAGAAAATTTTCCGTACAATTAAAATAGATATTTGATTAAAAAAAATGCTAATGAGATTCAAAACCATATCACAAACGATGTACAAGAATTAAAATTAAAATATTAAAAGTCAAATGAAAGTTACTAATGAAACTTCCACAATGTCTAAGCTGTTAAACATATTAATTTGCTTTTAAAAGTTTTGATATTCAAACGATTCATTATGATGACAATGAAATGTTATGGACGAAAAAGAGTTCATATTTTTCTAGAGATACTCGAAACTCTATCAATAAGATTGAGAAAATTATTATCCCAGCCATCTGCTGGGATATTGTGCCTACAGCGGTTGTAATTAATCCAGAAGCAGGCTGTAATTAACCCAATTGTCGTATTGAATCATGGATGACAGTATGATGCATTGTGACATCAAGAAAACCTAATTATGTTGGATACGAACAAATGTTTTGTGTTATGCAAGTATGACATCACATAATCTTTTAAAGTGCTATTTCAAATGTATTACGATTCAATACTTGTAATGTTATTTTATTAATATGAATCTATTTTTTTAAATAAGATTTATATATGCAATTTTTTTACTAAAATAAAGATATATAAAATACTTTGTATATAATATTTTGTATGGTATTAGACAGTATTCAAACTTGTTACAATTGAGAAGATATTGAATAATTGAATAATTTTGTCATGATATACTTGATGAAAATGCACTAAGAGTTATTAAATTAGAAAAAAAATATGAAGATATCTTTAAACAAGAATTCTTTTTTGAATATTTTTCCTATAAGATAATTCTTTGAAAATTGCTATTGATAACTATATTAAAATTTTTATTTTGTTAAAGAATCATGAAAATCTTGTATGGATCATCTCCCAAAAGCTATTATTCTATAAACTACTTGACACAAATCAAAACATGGTAAGTTTTGTTTGGAATCATGGTGACTCTGCAGAGACGTTTATGTTTTATTATCTTATATTAAATATTTTCTTTGCAGAATACAGAACGTCCTATTGCAGATTATGTTACAAAACAATATTCTCCCAACCTATCCGAGACGGCATGTGACATCCATTCATGATATCATACGTACCTTGTACCTCCGGCTCCGTACACACGGACATGGGGAACTCACAAATTTCTGGTGTGTGGAGCCAGACATGTTTGCTCGTGTCTTCGTGAGGGCTTCGTGGCTGCTTGCTCCCTTCAAATGGCCTCACCTCAACTCTTCATTTTTCACGTCTCGGTCACTCTCGATGTCGCCCATAAGTTATGGGCTACATATATCATATATGTAGTCATGGGCCATAACTAACAAAACAAAGCAGAGTTCGTTACAGAACAAGGCTGCGCGCCATCAACACCTGCATGGTACCACTGTACCTTCGGTACGGGGTTCAGAAGTCCACTCCCGCAATTTGAAGAGCTGACCTGAAGATTGCTTCCAGCCCAAGCAAATTCTTTCAGTTCCCGATAAATGAATGAACTACAGCAGGCTTGAGTTCGTTCAACTTTTACCGCGGTCAATCACCTGGTTTCAAGTTGTGGCCGAGGAGAATGAACCACAGTAGGCTCGAGTCGGTTCCACTGTGACCATGGGCAATCACATGGTTTCAAGTTGTGTCAGAGGAGAGTGAACCACAGTAGGCTCGAGTCGGTTCCACTGTGACCATGGGCAATCACATGGTTTCAAGTTGTGTCAGAGGAGAGTGAACCACAGTAGGCTCGAGTCGGTTCCACTGTGACCATGGGCAATCACATGGTTTCAAGTTGTGGCCGAGGAGAATGAACCACAGTAGGCTCGAGTCGGTTCCACTGTGACCATGGGCAATCACATGGTTTCAAGTAGTGTCAGAGGAGAATAAACCGCAGTAGGCTCGAGTCGGTTCCACTGTGACCCTGGGCAATCACATGGTTTCGAGTCGTGTCAGGGTGAGTGCCATTGATGATCGGATGATATGAAACAGGAAATGTAATCCACGACACTGACACGAAGGCCCGTCACCGATTGTCAAGCTCTTGGACGTCGGACAACGACATACATTTGCAAATCAGAACAAGGTTTCAGAAGCAATTCCTGGACCAGATTTATGTATAAGGTACCGCCACATGTCGATCTACAACTACAAAGAGGACTTGAAGTGGAAAGAGGGCCTTGCAAAGGATTTCCTCTTCTTCGATGATGGTGAATTGGAGTTTAGATACAGCGTGAGAGCTATCATTCGAGCACTAGTCACTCAACAGAATCACCATCTACAGGAGCCAACCTCAGAGCTTCCACCTCCGACAGACTTTCGTGGAAATGTGAAAAAAAAAAACTTCCAGTTCAAGAAGAACAGCTTCGAGAAAATAGACCGCCCTATATACATAGGGAGCGAGGGGAGCATTCGTACTCTATAAACATGAACTCTCCCCACGCTCCGTCATCGCTTTCTACGTCTCTATGGTTTACAGGTTGCAATGTACATGGAACAATTTGCTCGCTCGACCAGCACAAGCACAGTCATTCTGTTCTGGGCTGGATTCCAGATCCCAATCGAGGCCTGGCCCTTCGCTCCAAGATACCGTCGTCATAAGTGGACGTGTAAGCAATTCGGTTCGAAGAGCTCGAATTCGTGGGTTCCAGAGACGTACGGATCATGAAAGTCGAAACTCTGCCAAGACTTGGAAGGAATGTGAAACCCGCCGACGTACTGCAGATTCACTCCCTTATTTACATGATCGGAGGTGATGCTGATACAGATGTAGTCGCCCACCACAACCACCGCCTTATGCTCGTAGAATTTCCAGTCATGTGGCCGGTAATCCATACCTGTTTTCGCAAGCTCAAGGAATCCAAGGCTGCACTGCAGAGTCTCCTGTGGCAAGACCACCAGCTCGCCCCATTTCATGGTTTCCATATCGAGTTTGCTGATTCCGAACAAACATCCTGGCCGAGGCCTCCAGCCCGACAGCAGCCACCCGCCATAAATTGCTCCTCGATGCTCCACCAGATGGACCTTCAGGAAGCGCCAATCCATCGTATCCGAAGGCAGCTCGGGGTAGCCGACACGCGACATGCTCAGCAGGCTTCCATCTTTCAGGCTGTGAATGAGCAAATCCCCGTTCACATTGCCTCTCCACAAGTACAGCAGATCCTCCGTGAACATGTAAGATTGAGAGAGGTATCTGAATTTGCGGCCAATTGCATCCAGAGGAAGCTCCTTCGGCACGTCCCCTGCTGTGCTTGTCCACTCGTTCGTCTTCGAGGAAAACTGGTACACGGACCACTGATTGCCATCGCCGGCACCCATGAGCACCACTGCTCTGTAGTGAGAAGGTGACATCCTCTCCACCATCACATGATCCGTCCATAGCAGCTCGCCATCCGCGAAAGGAACGGGAGGGAGCTCGCGGAAGGTTCTGGTGAATGGGTTGATGAGACACATGCCTCCGTGAGCCGAAGCAGGACCCGAGCACCTCCACCTGGTCTTGGAATACGAGAGCAGCAGCCCGTCTCGGCAGGCCGTCATTCGGTTCCCGATGATCCACGAGGGCGCAAACGAGAGATCCATGCCATTAATCTTCCGACGATGCGACTTCGTGAAGGCGTCGTGCAGCTTGTCGGCGAGTTCCACTGCGCCCTCGGGAATGTAATCTTGAGGCCCGTAGACATCGGGCTCCTCACGATTCGGCCCCAGGTACTCGTACGCGCAGATGACATCGGGGCCGGCCGCAGATGCTTTCAGAGCTGCATTTTCCTCGGCGAATTTGCTCGATGACAAATTCTCGCGCCACTCGCGGCACACGGCGTGGAATCGAAACTGGCTCTTGGAAGGCAGTCGCAGCAGCACGGACAGCACGAGGTCCGAGCTCAGCTTGCTCCACACGGTTGCTCTGGACCTCCGCACCAAATCTCTGCTGAGTTTGGCCCGCACGGGACAGTCCATCTCCCAGCTGCTGCAGAAGGACCGCTCCCTTCGCGCGGGCCTCGAGATTTCGTGCGTCGAGCCGTCGAATGTCCCCTGCAAGATGTGCAGTCTCAATTGTGGATCTCTCTCCTGCAGGTTGCTGATAGGACGCCACTTTTGTATGAAGTTGCTATCCATCGGCTCGTTCTCCGGTACGACCAGCGCAATGAGGCGAGAGTTCGGCGACCACGAGCGCTTCTTCCAGTTGAGAATCATGCGAATGAATTTCAGGAATCTGCTCGAAAGCGGACGAAGCGACGAGCTCCAGCTCTCGACGGATCGAAAAGGCGACCAGTCTCGTGCGGCCTCCTCCGCCTCCTCCTCCTCCTCCGGCCGAAGTAAACTTACGAAATGCATAAAGCAAATGTCAAATGCTTAAAATTTATAATTCTGCGCCGACAGCAGCAGCAGCTCCTCGTCTCGTGCACCGCTTCACGAACCCAAATCAAAAATTCGAGCTCTTCCAAGCCTCTCGGTGTGCTCGCTGTGAGTGAGTGCTGGCCGGAGGTCTGTTCTTCAGATGATGGACATTGGATTTTCTTGCACTCTGCGTGCTACCTACATCGGTCGGTCGGTACTCCGGCGGTAAAAAATCGGAAATAGAAACAATCGCTAGGAGAAAATCATGTGGCTTCTGGTTATCCAACAGAAACAAGAATCAAATCGTCATAAGATCTATGTCGACTGCGGCCGCAACAGTCGAGGGGTATGGATGCAATGCAATGCTTGGCTCAAACTATCAGGCTCGAAGAGAGACGATTGTTGCGCTCATCGAAGCCCTGAGACAGCGAGATTGAGCCAGAGGCCGGCGCATGCCAGATCTCAAACAGGATGCGAGGTCCCGTCAGCACTCATTGGACCTTGGGCGGAGACGAGAGAGCCCCGGTCTCGCCCATGTGGAAGAGGTCTGCGGATACACGAGGCAGCTCAGAATCTTCCACCAACCTTATGTCAACGAGCGCTTCCAGGACTGCTACAGGGCGAGCGATGGGCTTGGGCCCCGACGAATTAGGTGAATCGTCACGGACACACTCATGGAGATTCTTCCCCCACTGCCAATAGGCGTTTAAAATTCGCCACGACTTCGCGGCTGAATCCACGGCGGAATTTCCGAGTGTGTCCAAATCGATGATCTGGACTTTCGGCACTCCAGGACTCGCATTCGATTGCAGTAACCCCGCAGTCAAGTTCCAGTAAACCCTTGTCGACTCCGATCACGCCACTCTCTCGTCTTATAATCTACTGCCCTCCACAAATGCGCTGCGTATAGCAGCATGGCACCTTATAGCGCCAAAGCTCGCGGTCCCGTAAACGTGGCCTCCCCTGGCGGACCTTCAGACATACTCCACGCAGGTCCGTCGTATTCCGCCCGGGCCTGCGATCGACGATGTAGGATCGGATGTAGCGGCTGGGGGAATCTGGGAGGGAGACTCACTGTGAAACGCGGACTTGTAATCTCCCAGCTTTTCCATTCGAGCGATGGCAAAATGGAAGCCCAGTCTAGTCAAACGCTGCTGCTGCTGCTGCTGCGAGATAGAAATAGAGGTAGCCCAGTCTAACCCGGAATCTAGTGAAGGATGATGGGCATGGACTGTGCGTCATGTGTACGCTGATTCAATTAGTTTTGTTCGAGATGCGAAGGCAGAGGTCGTGATATATTGCGAACGTGATTCGCGTGTGATCAGCTCAGATCTTTCCGAGAATTCGCAGACGATAAAGAAAAGGGTGTAGAAAATCTTCGCTGCACGAGAAAGCTGGTCGGTAAGAGAGTAATACGTTCGATCCAATGACTTCCGTCGACCTCATCGATCGCCCGAGGACAAAAGCGAAAGCAACCCGAGTCAGTCAGCGGATCCGAGCGAGTGAGTGGAAGCTGCGAGAGATACCAGTAGGTGGAAACTCATCAGCTCTCTCGACCATGGCACACCCGCCAAGGTATGTTGGTGGTGAGTATGGCAAGTTGCCCCACTGAGAGGTCCATTTCTGTGATCGCCTCACGGAAAGGGTGAAGCTGCGACGCTACAACGAAGCCTCGGTTTTGGAGAGAGAGCACGTTTCTTTCATGATGCTTCTCAGCTTTCTTCTTTTCGCCTGATACCGGCCTTTAGTCCACGCCTTCCTTCCAGAAAGCATATATTCGTCGTCGTCGTAGTCGTCGTCGAGGGGTCATAGGTTACCGGTGCCGGCCGGGGCTACGCCGACCTGCCCGGGGGGGGGGGGTGTGTTTCGCCACCCGCGATACACGTCAGCAGCCGAGGGGTGCCGGCCGACGTTGCCTGCTGGCCCGTGTTGGTGCGTCAAAGAGGCTTTGCGCTAGGAGAGATGGCGACCCGTGATTTCGGAAGGCGGGAGGATAAGCCGAGGCGTGTGTATGTGCGTGAATGAATGATGATGGACTCAGAGAGAGAGAGAGAGAGAGAGAGAGAGCTGGCGTATTTGCAGCCGAGATCGGATCAGCAACGGAGCCAAGAGTGTATTAGTCGGCTCTAATTTCACCTGAACGAGATCACAGATTATGCTACACTCACGGCCCCAGCGTGGAACTCCACGACTGGCGTGTCGAACACAGATCGCGGCCATTTTTTCCGTACGGTGCAGCAGAACACCTATTTCGTGGGTGCAGGGGTGGAGATCGGACAGGTATCGCGGCATGTCGGCACCGATCCCAGGTTGCACAGGAAAACAGTGCGCACAGTGATGGGAGTTACAACATTCCCGCAGACCTGTTGCTTCTGAGAGTCTCTCTCCATCCCTCTTCGTGGCTGAAGAGAATTGTGCCTTCGGTTACGAATCTGCAGACGCTCTGACATCTCCTTCTGGACTGCTCGTTTTCTCCGTGTGCTATCCCTCTGACATACATACCTTTCAGAATTGCCCCCCGAAGTGTTGACCACTTCCCGATGGTGAATTCGTCTGAGCCCGAATCTACGCTGAGCTAGTGCATGTGTGATTGCGCAGTGGAGTACACGTATTCTTATCCAGACATTTGTCGTTCTATGCAAAGTGCACGCACGGACCCTATGAACAGAGACGACCGTAGCTGAACTCGATGTCATCTTTCAGAGACGAGGTCTTATTCTGGTGATCCGCGGGCACTTTACAGACGGACTTGCAAACACGTAGGAACAAAAAACTCGATGTCCGTGGACTCTAGTACATGGGGGAAGCTGGAGTCAAAGCTTTTCCAGGTCTGGGAAGGAGTGTGAAAGCCCACTAGGTTGTGAGAAACGAAATCGTGCGAGGTTTCCCGGTGGGTCAGTTTAAAGCAGATGAAGTGCCCGAGGCTGAGCACCTTGTAATCCTCCAGCTCCCATGACAGTGGCGGCACATCAGGATCGGCCTCCTCCAGGGCGAGCTCCGAGATTCGGTTGTGCATCATGGCCTCTGGCAGAATCACTAGCTGCTCCCACTTCATGGCCGTACTCAGCATGCTGAACCCCAAGATGGGCATGGCCGGCTTCTTCAAGGTCAGCGACCAGCCTACAACAATCCTGCCCTCGTGTTCTAATACCTCCACGCTGATGGTTGTGAAATCCGTACCTCGGAATGGCAAGTCCGGGTACCCTGGCCGGCTGCTCGTCAGGAGATGGCCATCCTCTGAACTGTAAACCAAGAGACTGCCATCCACTTTCCACGAGTACAGGAACCCACCTGCAAAAAAGTGGTCGCGGCAATCTATGGGAGCAGACTTGGTGTCTCCTGAAATGATGGCCCAATCGCTGTTCTTCGAGGAGTAGCGACAGATGAACCACTCGCCGTGCATCGTACCGAGAATGACGTACACGAGGAAGTGCGATGGCGACGCCCTGTCGACCATGAGCTCGTGAGCCCATGGCCATGTCTTGCCGTCGACCAGATCGGGCACGGGCGGAAGCTCCCGCCAGGTCCTCGTGAACGGATTCAGGACACAAAGCCCTCCGTGGGCGGACTTGGGGCCCTTGAGTCTCGAGGTTTTGCAAGGGGTTGCGCAGATCAATCCGTCTCTCGACGCCGTGATTTTGTTCGCCATGATCCACGAAGGTGCGAAGGAGAGATCCATCCTCTGCATCTTCCGGCGTCCGGCGGACCTGTGCAGCGCATCTCGGAGCCTCTGGACGAGCTCTTCTCCGCCCTGCTGCGGCGTCTGCGAGGGCGTCCTCACCTCTTCGAACCCTTCGGTCGGAAGTAACACGCTGCTTTCTAAAAGATTTGGACATTCGTACTCGTACGCGCAGATTGGAGGAGTGTCCGGGATGCTCGATCGAATCGCTGCACTCTCTCTCAAAAAGGTAGACGAAGATAGCATGTCGAGCCAGATTTTACAAACTGCCCGAAAGCGGAATTGACTGACGTAAGGCAGTCGGAGAAGCACTTTCCTCAAGAGGTCAACCGTCAATTGACTCCACAATCCCTCATCCATCTCCACCGCCATCTCCTCTGACATAACCCTTCCCACACACAATCCATCGAAGTTGCCTTCCAATATGTGCAATGTCAGCTGCGGATCCCTCTCCTCGCGATTGCTCATCGGACGCCAATCCATGGAGTCAACACTGAAATTGTCAGTAACTCAACCGGATGAAAACAACGTCGCGATCTGCAAACCCCCGACCTGGACCAGCTTCGGAAGATCTCGACTTCATCAGCACCTGCACAGAAACGTCATAAGAATTTTGCGACAGAGTATGCTCTGCTGTGGAGGCCAACGAAACCCTAGACGTACGGCCCCAAGAACCCAAACCTAAATTATTGCGTTGAGCACGGAGGAGATTGTAATCCGAACAGGCCATTCGAAACAGCAAGTTTGTCCATATCTGCGTACTTATTATGCCGGAAAGATGTGTCCTTGTCTGGTTACGGGAATCGAACACTCATGGCACTGCTGTACTGTAACTGAGCTGTCTTGATGATGGTCCTGATGGCTTCGGGACCAACTGCAAGGGAATTGGCAGATTTCGATCGAAAGATGTAGAGGAAGCATTCATCCCTTCCGTCACTAAAGAAACCTTTTGACAGAACGTTTCTCGAGAAGATAATGGCCTGCTCGAAAGAACGAGTTGTTTCCAGGAATTGTATTTGCGATGAACCAGTTCACGGTCAGGGTATTGTTTCTCCTTTCGTTCGTCTGGTAATGTCATAGAATCGAGCTTTCATTTTATGTTAAGCCCGAGTCATGACATCTGGTGACTGGGGAAGGCATCATTGTGTTGCAGCTATCCCCGCAGTCCTTCTTGGTCTGCTAAAATCAACAAGAATATTTCATTCGTCTTGTCAATTCAGGTCTACGTATCCTCGTCAGTTGCTGTGCAATGTGAAAGCACCACACTGAGAGATTCTAGGATGCTGTTTTCAGAACTGTTTTCAAGATGTTTCGTAAGTGTCATATGTTTCTACACTCTCTCTTGGTCACCAGATGAGCCACAAATCAAATGCATATGAGTCGAGGCCAGTTTGTGACCCAGTAATTCTGAACGGTTTACGAATGATGAATTGGTTTTCTTTTGGGTTTAGAGGTATCCAATAATTTTGTTGCACACAAAGACAATTCGTCTTTTACAGAAGATTGGCCAGAGACAAGATCAGGAGTACCTCTAGGCTACATGTTGTTGAAGCGTAGTTGCTTGAAACTGTCAACCTGAAAAGCTTCTATCTACCATGTAAAATGCGAACAAATGGTATAATGTACGCAACCGGCTGCTTTGAACAACTGAAACAGCAGTTCTCAAACTTGCAGCCTGTCAGTTTCTACAGAGGGGTCCATGAGAACGGAGGTTCCTCGTTTAAAGCTATGAACCTTTCAGACTTGAATGAGTTGGACAGTTTTCACTTCAGAATGAGGGTAACATAGGATCGACTATGAACGTTTGTGTCCTCGTGTGAGTTAGAGTATACCTCCTCGTCTCCATGCATCATTGGAGTCAGAAGAAATTTTGACGAATCAATACATCTAGGTGCTTTGTGTACAAAACGATCTGTTGTTCAATATATTCGAACACGAGTCTGGACCTTCTCTATGAGGGAGAAACGCGCCAGTGAACACCATGCTACAAATTTGAGTTAAATACACTCCAGAGGGTAGAGTGAGTGACATACTGAAGGCACAGATTTGCAACGTATGAGTCTGTATGCCATCTTGCTGCTTCTCTTCTGAAAAAGCCGACCAGTTCAGACTTCATCCAAGATCATCGCTTTCGATTAAGCACTGAACTGAGTCAAAATCGGATCTCTGAGCACAAGAGGAGTTCATGTTCGATTAGTCGTTCGGCTGCTAAAAATGTATGCACGAGCCTTTTTTCCTCATTGTTCTGATAGCCTTGCATTTCAGTAAAATTGGAGGCTAATACTAAAAGCCCCTCTGATCAACTTCCCGTTGTTGGAATATACTCTCTGCTTCATAAGCTTCACCACTATATGCTTCAGAAGCTTCACATCTATAGTTAGTACATAGGAAGCTTCTCAGTATGGTTCGCATTAGGAAGCTTCTTAGTATGGTTTAGGGTGAAGGTGAAGTTTGGAGAACCTAGTGTTCTTCTCTATAAATGTCTCTTCTCTCATTAACGTTTTTACTTCCTCACAATGACTTCTGTGAATACTCAGCTTGTCCAACACCAGTGATCTTCATTGCTTTGTGCTCTCGAATATGAGTGAACGAAAAGTAGAATGAAGCAGGCTTTATAAATATGTGTCTTCGCTTTTGAGTCAGCTTGAACGAGTTACCGCACGTGAAATCAGTTCTTACAATGCACGTCTGATGTGAACATGGCAGTCGTTGGTGTGCACTACGTTGCAGTTGCAGGATTGAGTCGCTGTATTTTGGAAATGCCATTCATGAGCGGAATGATTACACGAGGGACAGAAGAAAAGAAAGACACACAAGCACAGCGTGTAGAATAAAAGCTCCTGGAGCATATATAGGTGGCTTTCAGAAGTAGATCCATGATTCACCTCTTTCCACAGAACATCCAGTATCTTTTCAGTAATGAAAATATCTTCCTGGATCCTGAGGCATTTCAGACACTTGAATATGAACTGTATTCAGTCTTTATCATGGATACGTTTGGTCACTCCCACTGACAGCGCAGATTTACAATCCTGCTCAAGAGTCTGAATTTCTCTGTCTTTTTCTTGTCAACGTGACCTTTCTCGGCTACAGATACTGTTTTTGGCCGTTTAGAGAAACAAACCTTCCATCAGAGGATAGAGCAATGGGCCGCAGCCTCAGCCTAGACCTCAGCATTGTCATACCTATCCTCTTTATAGTTTCGACCACAACACATTTCAAACTTGTACAGACGTTCGGCAAGACGGGATGGATACATAACAATAATTTTGACTTCTTCAAGCAGCGAATTCTCAACTCTTTCAGTTGCTTTTGCGATTCGCTCTTGTGTTATTCGAATTGAATCTGAGCATTCTTTACACACTAACACCGTAGCCAGTTAACAACATGCATCTACCAGATGTAAGATGTACACAACGAGGCTGAATGAAGATCTTGATATAGTTGGACGCAAACATGAAATTTCGTACTTAAAGCTCCTGCTCATCCTTTCCCCAGAATGGTTTTGGATAGGATTTTCCATCTGCAGAGAGAATATGAGACCTCATCTGTTAACTGAGGGAGAAACTCATATCGAATGACTTATGCATATCCAGATTTCGTATCGTTGAATTTTGTGTTACTGAAGCCTCACTGTTAGTTTCGCCGTGACACTATACTCTGTCAACAAAGAGTACATGTAACATAAAGGTTTAGAAAAATCTCTTGCAAATAAATTTACAGGAACTTCACTTACTTCACTACAGAAACTAGACTTGCTAATGAGCCCGTTGCACAAAACCTGTGAGCTACGACGACCGCAGTTTCATGCAAAATTATTTCGATCAAATCGCTTCCAAAGAACGAAGAGCATCGCCAACGGTTAACAGTGTTTGCACGTGTTCAAAATGCCTCACTTTCCAGACAATTATACTCTCCAATCTCCATGGTTCTCTATGGTCAAATATGTATCCTTATTCACAATTTAATCTTAGTACCACGCACTCAAATGGAGTACAAACCTTTGCATCCTGATTTTCGTGCGATTTCTCAATGTGGTTGTACATTGACTCATCAGTTGAGATTCAGGTGTGGTGAAAATTTCAAAAAATGTCAGTTATCCAGAAGATGATAATATAAACTCTTAAACCTGGCTGTCAATATCGACAAATATCTCGGCAATGTAAAGTAGTTATAAAGTTAAACATGACCAGAAAGATGTTTATGAGTGCAGACTCCTACTTTAGTGCTAATTTTGGATTCATCTGGTTAATTTCACATCGAAACATTTTATCATGCTTTGTGGTTAATAGAACCCATAAGTGAATATAAATGCTCTTACTTTTGAATCTACTATCTCACAGTGATTATGTTTTATTGATCTGCAATTCAATCAAATGTCTGCGGTTAAAAGATACAAATCAAGAGTGAAAAAGGTACAACTGAATAACAAACAAGTATAAGTACTCAATGCTACTTTGTAAGTAAAAGTTATTGATTGATTTTATCTTTTGATCAATATCCAAAGTAGTTTGAAAACTAAATGCTCAAGATTTTGGCATCTTTTCCAAATTCTATCTGAATAACAGATTTCTAAAAATTGAAAATCTATCACAAGAAAAATTTAGTTACAATAGTGAAAAGTTTAGAAAGCTTGATAAATAAATAAATAGATAATATTGAAGATTTCATAGAAGATAAAAAATTTCACTTCAGACACTTTCTAAGCTTGAGAGATCAGTTATATAAATGATGTAAGTTATGTATAAAGTGATTTTAGAACTTATGAGAAGAAAATTCAATTAGTTTATGCAATTCAAAGATAATATATTGTGTTTGTGTGTGTGTGTATATATATATATATATATATATATATATATTCTCATGTGATATTTTTCGAAATTTTCACTTTATTTCAAAATTTAGCAGTGTAATCTAGTATCATGCAAAAATAAATGTATATGTCTAATATTTTAAGAATATGATTAAAAAATTAAAAAAATCAAGTGTAAAGTCTAAAAAATATATTAATACATTCAAGGATGATGTATGATCAAGATATCGGAGGAAAAAAATATTCCAATGAAACATATTATATGATATCTAATGATAATGTATATTCCAATTGATTGACCAATCAAAAGATCATACAAGTATAACCTTTTTTTGAATGATAATTTTTCTAAACAATGCTAGATTTATCACATGTATCTCACAAAAAATGTAATAAATTACATGATATGCTTTAAACTCTGGTACTCAAAGCACATTATTATGTGACACAATGTGATAATCTATAGGTTATCATATTGTGTCACATAGATTTTTCTATCTCAAAAGACGTTTGAATTTCTGGTTGTTATGCAAGTTTCTTAATCTTTTGTATCAAACATATCTGCACATATCATTTTTTTCATTTAAAGGAATTCGATCTATTCAAATTTCAAACTGAAGTTTTATAAGATTGATTATTTTTTTATATTATTATTTTTTTATTTTAGACT